AGATGTTTCACACCTAAAGCAGCACATATTCTTTCTTCTTTAATAAAATTGTTAGAAGGCTATATTAATAAAAAGAAATCTCGTTCTCATGTTCAGGATTCATCCCCACAATTAAATTGGAACGAGAATGCTGAACAAGCCTTTATTGCTGCCAAAAATGCCATTGCTCAGGCTACCCTTTTGAGACACCCTATTCCCGGAGCCCAGCTAAGCATCTGGGTAGATGCCTCAGACGTCGCAATCGGCGGCACACTTATGCAGTTGTCTCAACAAACATGGGAACCTATAGCATTTTTCTCTATGAAACTCAATAAAAGTCAACAGAAATGGTCCGCGTACGATAGGGAATTATTTTCTATTTATTCTGCAATTAAGAAATTCCGACACATGTTAGAGAGGCAGAAATTTTATAATTTATACGGATCAAAAACCGTTAATATACGCTTTTAAACAGAACCCTCATAAATGTTCACCTCGACAATTGCGACATTTAGATTTTATTTCTCAGTACTCTACTGATATTAGGCATGTGCAAGGTTCAAAAAAACGTCGTTGCTGACGCTCTTTCAAGAATCGAAATTGATTCCATAACAAAATCTCCATTTTTGGATTTTAAAAAATTTTCGGAAGCTCAACGGCATGATCCGGAGGTACAAAACCTTCTCAAAAACAACACATCATCTTTGAAACTGGAATTTAAACCGTGCCAATATTCTGATGGTAATATTCTTTGTGACATATCAACGGACATTCCTCGTCCATTTGTTCCGAATTCCTTTCGCAGACTCATCTTTAATCATCTGCATAATCTGTCACATCCAGGAATTGCAGCTACTACGAAGCTTATTTGTTCTTGTTATGTATGGCCCGATATGAAACGTCATATCAAAAATTGGGTGAAATCCTGTGAATCTTGCCAAAAATCGAAAATTACTAGGCATACTAAAGCACCACTGGGCACATTCTCTCTTCCTGATGCACGTTTTTTCAGAAATCCATATGGATATCGTCGGACCGTTACCTCCATCAGAAGGCAACGTGTACCTTTTGACTCTAATAGATAGATTCTCCAGATGGCCTGAAGCCATTCCCATCCCGGATATGAAAACGGAAACCATTTGCAGAGCCATCTTCAACTGTTGGATATCTCGTTTTGGCTGCCCATCGATCATAACAACAGACCAAGGTTCTCAAATGAGATCCGCACTTTTTTTTTTTGCAGAATTCACGCGCATTTTGGGTACGAACAGAATCACAACAACAACAGCCTATCATCCAATGTCAAAACGGCATTGTTGAACGATTTCATCGACATTTAAAATCTTCTCTCAAGGCTCACGAGACCAATAACTGGACTGAAACACTACCAGTTGTTATGCTTGGTATTCGGACAGCCGTAAAGGAAGATCTACAGTCATCTTGTGCTGAACTGGTGTACGGCACAACTCTCAAGCTGCCTAGTGATATGATAACGTCATCTAAGATATCTCCGTATGACACACAATTTATCACGAATCTTAGGCATAGAATGCAACAATTGAATCCAATAGCAACATCTGCACATTGCCAAGAAAAATGTTACGTAAGTGCTACCTTAAAGTCGTGTACGCATGTATACTTACGTGTCGATCGAGTAAAGCCACCTCTGTGCCAACCATATACAGGTCCGCATAAAGTCCTTTCTAGAACGGACAAAACTTTCACAATTGATGTTAACGGTCTGAAATCTACTGTGTCTATAGACCGTGTGTGAAACCAGCCTATTTGCTTTCGGACTCTAATTTGCCTGCTGAACTGAAAACAAATAAAGACTTAAAGACAGTTCAGCAGAATAAATCTGCAAACGAACTCTCTAAGACACAAACTGTCACCAGATCGGGAAGACATGTTCACTTCCCTAAGAAACTTGCTTCTTACGTAACAATTTAAAAAACATTTCTTTTAAAAATTCATATCTTAACATATTTCTTGTTATTTCATGTTTATTATATGTGTCAATACCTTGTTATATATTGAATTGCATTTTGATCTTTTCTAATTTTATATTCTAATTTTGTAATCATGTAAAAAATACCCGACAGTACGGATCCTCTAAGATAATTTCATAACCTTTGTCGTTCCTTTGAATAGTCATTAAAGGAACTGGGGGGAAACTCTGTGGTGATGGCGATAAGGAGCGCGCCTTGCGCCCTCCGATAAGTGTGGCAACCCTAGAGGAGAAGTTTTTCTTACGAGTAGCGAGCAGAGCGAAACAGGCAGGCTGTCGGGCAGTGTGCGCGAAGTTCCTAAATAAAGCTTAATTTTTATTGTGCACTATGTCTTGTTAATATTATATTAATGCAGTAAGAACATAATCTGTGATATGGAATTCGAGGATTGGTGGTAAAAACATAACCGGAATCCACCATACGCAATTGATTTTTCCTTCCTTAATAAAACATGTCGAGATTTCACGTGGACTTAAAAATTCCGATTCTTAATTTGACTTAGACACTAAATAAAATACCTCATTATGAAAAAACAATCATGTAAGCATAAATTTGTGAGATTTAATAATTTGTCTCCGTAGCTGAGTATCTACTTGGCATACATCTGAAACTGAAACATTCACCTATTTTATATCCCTGAAGCTGACATGGCGAGTTTTTTTGAATTTTTTGTGGATTCCAACACCCCACTTGCACTGAATAACAGAAAAAGTGTTTGTTTTGCTAAAAGTGACAATCATGACAAAATGATGATTGAATGGGTCAAACAGCGTCCCAGTGAGAGCGTGCCATTGACGGGTCCAATGCCAATGGCTCGAGCCAAAATATTTCATGAAGAAATTAACTTAAACACTGAGTGCACGTATTTGAAAAGTTGGTTAACCAAATTAAAAAATCACCATCATATAAGACAAAAATTTCATTTGAAAAAGCTTCAGCTGATACTGAAGCTGCTGAACAAATGCAGATGAATTCATTGAACGCATTACTAGTGAACAATTATCTCCAGAACAAAGTTAAATGGCAACCTCTACAGATACCTTGGCAACCTCTACAGAAAAGGCTCCAACTGGTATCAAAGATTCCAAAGGGAGACTTAACAATTTTGGTGTGCACGAATGCCACAGGAATGCACAAGCGCAAACTTTTCTTAATCGGAAAACATGCACGACCTCGAACATTTTGAGGAGTAACGATTTTCCCCATTGTATATCATGCAAATAGAAGAGCATGGATGACACAAGCGTTAATGAATGATTGTTTCAAAAATCATTTTATACCTGAGGCTCGGCAACATTTGAATTTGGTTGGTTTACCTGATGACTCAAAAATAGTCCTGATTGTAGACAACTGTTTGGCTCATACTTCACTATAAGTTTTAGTGAAAGATAATGTATCCGTATTATTCTTCCCTCCAAATTGGTACCTCTGTCATTCAGCCGATGGATATCAGAGTAGTGCAAACGCTGAAATGCAAATATAAAGTAGCATTTTAAAATCCATGTTAAATTTCTTAAACAATATGTACAAAACTATTCAAGAATTTTTGAAATATTTTAGCATAAAATCTGTTGTGTGGAGCATCGCAAGATTGTGGGAGGATACGTTTAAAATACTACCGATTTAATGCTTGGCCAAATACTCAAAAAAATGTTTGGCATATTTATGGCCAGCTACCATATTTCATGGTGAGGATGATGAAGATGATAGCAGCAAATTTGTAGGTTTTAGGATATTGCAAACTAAAGGTGAAATTTTCCAGTTAATGGATTTTGTAAAGAAATGTGGAGAAGCGGTAGTAAATGAAGATGATATAACAGAAGTTTTTTCATTACGATGATAATGCCCCAATTATCAATCAGTTAACGAGATGGCGAAATCTGTAGTATGGTTCTAGATCTAGAAAATATCCACTATTGATAGTGCAGAAAGTGACAGAAAGGTTATTGAAAACTAAAAAATTTCGATTGACAAGTTAGTCGGTATTCTCGACTCGGCAATTATGGGACTTAAACAATGAAACTTTGTAACTGAACAAGAAATTATATCTGTTTATAGAATTAAAGAGAAAGTATTAGCACAAAAAATGAAGCAACTTAAAGAACTTGCATTGAAAGAAATGGCCAGCTACCATAGTATTTCATGGTGAGGACGATGAAGATGATAGCAGCAAATTTGTAGGTTTTAGGATATCGCAAACTAAAGGTGAAATTTTCCAGTTAATGGATTTTGTAAAGAAATGTGGAGAAGCGGTAATAAATGAAGATGGTTAACAGATGGCGAAATCTGTAGTATGGTTCTAGATCTAGAAAATACCACTACTGATAATGCAGAAAGTGACAGAAAGGTTATTGAAAACTAAAAAATTTCGATTGACAAGTTAGTCGGTATTCTCGACTCGGCAATTACGGGACTTAAACAATGAAACTTTGTAACTGAACAAGAAATTATGTCTGTTTATAGAATTAAAGAGAAAGTATTAGCACAAAAAATGAAGCAACATAAAGAACTTGCATTGAAAGAAATGTTTAATAAAGTAAGCAAATATATATTAAGCTTTTTTTTTTTGTAAAATTTGATACCCTTTAGATAATAATTGCTTTTTATTTCATAAATTACGATTTCATATTTTTAATTGTATAATTTCTGCACGCCTTTTTACCAGATTTAAATTGATGATCTAATATCCGGAAAGATCCCAAATCCGGAATAGCCGAAGTCCCAATGAGTCCGGATTTCGGACTTTGTACTATATAATAAGTAAAAATAGGGGAGCTCGCCTTATCTAAAGCTCCAGTCTGAATAATGATTTCATTTATAAACAGAAAGTTGTCAGAACCAGGCTGCTGTGGGCCATATTAAGTAGTTGTATAGACTGCATGCTAGAAATTATTATTATATATTCGTTATTTTGAATGTAAATAAGACCAAGAAGCTTTTAATTTTTTATATGGGAATGAGATTTGCAGATTTTTAAATTAGTGTCCTCTCATTTTGTTTTTTGCTTTATAGTCTGCTGAGCAGTTTGAATTTGATGGATGTGACAATTGTGAAGAATATTTAAATATGAAAGGCAATAGAGAACATATGGAGAAAGTCACAAGCTCTAATTTTGATGGGTAAGTTCAGTTAGTATATTTCTCACTATATTGCAATGACATTTTGTTCAATTCTGAAGTTTTAGGTGCTTGAAGCTTATGCTGTTATAGAGCAATTGATATGATATATGGGTAAAAATATATTTACAGGTGCTCCTTAGCTAGCAAGTCATAGAATTGCACAAACTCAGTATTCATGTGCATATCGACCTATTTTCTAAAAAAACAGAGAATTGCACTAACTAGACATTGTGCACTCTTGACTTTGTCCATGTACACATCTTTCTATATTCACAAGTCAGGAGCAGCCAACAAAAAATATATAATCTCAATAAATTACATTTTAAATCAAGCAGTGAAATAACATAAAAAAGGAAATTCATATTAGTACTGCACAAAGGAAATATCCACTTACCTTATTTACAAATTTCAACAAAAAATCAAACAAAATTCCTTAACAGCATTAAAAATCTTCCTAAAATTATCTGATGTAGAATCTGTATACTGACATCGCCACAAAAATAAGGGTAAAAAATATCCTCAGTAGTGTCGGAATCCTCCGACGTTCAACCATACGTATTTCCTTCCTACAAACAGAACACTTATTATGACTATTAAGTAAACCTTCATTTACACACCAGTCAATTAATTCTTTTTACCTTTCATTCCGAATCATACAGAAACTTCAAATTAATGTTACCACATTCAGCCATTTTACCATGTAAACCAAAAAATAACAACATACTTCTTATCCAAAATGCGACACACAGACAAGTCTTTCCCCATCATTCAAATTCACCGCAATCATGCAACCAGTTACGTCATAATAGGGTTTCTATAACATTCAACTACTCAAGTTACCATAAATGAAATAACAACGTAGTGATAAATGAAACAACTTAGCAATAATCCAAGGGGCACCCTTAAATTTACTCTAATATATGTTGTTCCTAGTTAATTGATTTCATTATTATGGACTAGTAGGCAGTATTCATTCTAAATTACCTTATTAAGATAGGCAGCAAAGTTTTTAAATTCATAATTTTTTTTTTGTGTCGTTATTTTTGTTTGTGTCGTTATTTAATTTTTAATTTACTTTTTATAAAAGTGTGAATTAGAAATTCTGAAATGCAAGAGAGTAAATGTGTTTAATATTTCGCTAAAGAGATATAATGCTACTATGCAAAATCCACTTAATGCAAAAGTCTTAATAATTAAAATGTGTTAAGATTATATCAAATATATTTTTTGTATATAAAATGAAAAATTCATAATGGCTAAAATTAATAAAGGGAACTGATACATAAAATTTTAAACAGATTCTTGCAAAATATATATATTATGATAAATCCCAAACTTCCAAATTTGATATTTAAAACTTGTGTATATTATGCTTATATAATCATGATTGAGAACATATTACAGTTTGGCTGTGTATGATTTACCAAAATACCTGGAATTAACACATTTTCATATAGAAACATCAAATCATAATAGAGTTTAATGTGAAATAATGCAGCACATATTAAGGCTATTTCTGTTATATCTAGACATGTAACTTATTTATATCAAGCCATAGAAAAGAAGATTTTTATAACTATGTTTCATTTGCAGAATTTCAAAACTCTTGTAATGTTAGCAAAAAATGCACTTGTTATTTTCTTGGACTGTTGATGATGATGAGGCACAAGAGCAGTTATCAAATTTGAAAGCACCTATTACTTTATTCTGGTCTTGGAATGCACAATTGTCACTATTCAGCTGTAATTCCCCAAACTGAAAAGCATTATTTACTAATATCTAAATATTGCGAGGAATATTTATAGAGCAAAATGAATTTATATTTACTGATACTGTAGAAATAATATAAAAAAGTGAAATTATAATATTAGTTTTTAAGCAGTTATTTTAAATATGTAGTAAACAATTTCCTCTAATTGAAAGTCAACTAAATTATTTGTTATTGAACTGCTTAATAAAATATGATTTTTTATAACAAAAAAGTTAAATAAATAAATAAAGGGGTAAATATTTGATTAACTTGATATAAATTTGCCAGTTTTGCACATTGCCAATTATATGGAATACAATGTAATTTAAGATTTCGTATTACAGACTTTTTTATTTTTTGGAACTATAAACTAGATTTTGTTTAAGATAGTTTACTGGAAATGATACTTCACTTAACCTTTTAATGTGCATGGTATTTTTTTTTTTTTTAATGTTGTGGATATATCATTTGTTATAGTACTAAATAATTAACATTTTGATCCTATGAATGAGTAATATTTGTTTGAAATAAAAATTAGCTAGTTGCCCCATCACATGGTGTGAATGGTGTACATCTAGGAATTCATCACTGGATAAAAGCCCACAAAAGAAACAAACCCCACTGTGATAATTGTTCATGCCCATACTGGTGAAAGTCCATACACACATGTATATGCCATGTAGAAGATAATAATTTTCCCATTATTTTCAGTTTATATAAAGCAAATTCAGGAAAAAGTAAATTAAATTGAAATAACCTATTTTATTTTGGGCCCCAGCTGATTTTGAGCCCTGTATATGTCTGTAATGTTTAGACTTAGATGTAATGATGTAGGAATGTTGACTGCATAGATAAAAGGATGACATTCACAGACAGACTTTGCCAAACGGAACCTAATTTTATTGCTGGATAAAGTACTTCCAGAGGCCCAATATTGGTTCCCATGGGTACGATATGCACCACCCAAACATATTTATCAGTTTTGGTTTTGCACCAGGATCTCAGCTATGATTTCACCAAGCTTATGAAGTGCAAATGTAAAAATAAACAGCTCAATATATAAAAATAATAATACTCACATGTTGTTTCCTAAGAATATTTTTAAGAATCTTTATCATTATTATTATTTTATCGCATGTAATTGTTCCAGTTAACTAAAGCAATTAAACACATATTAAGCTGTTTGTTATGCCATTTCATTTAAGTCAGCTTCTCTGCCCTGTAATACATAAATCTAATAGCAGTGACAGACAATATTCTGGAGCTGCTTAATCAATTTCCAACATGGAGGCTGTTCTGAAAAAAAAAAAAAAAAAAAAAAAAAAAAAGATGTGGCACCCACCTCACTTAGTAAATTAAAAATTGTTAATGTAATATTCATACAGAAATAAAAGTAATGACTACATTTTAAAATAAACAATGCAAATTTGAAAACCCCATCAAAAATTAATAATATAAGCTACATGAAGCAAGAGCAAATGAAACATGGTGATAATATATGATTATGTGGTGAGGTATAAGAACATGTAGCCAGTGCTAATATATAATCATGTGTTGAGCTATAAGAACATGCAGCCAGATTTTGAGGAGATATCTTGGTTGATTGGCCATTCAGTCTTTGGGTCCTCTATAACAAAGAATACCGAAATATTTCTTAAATCTGATTAGCTGAGTTGTCCCACTGCAGCTTGATTACATAAGAGACATGAAGCTTTAATTTTCAGATGATGCACTTTAGATTCATGTAGGGGAAGCAAGCAACCTAAATTGAAATGAGGCATCAAGAAGCCATTGCCAATTTTAATTATACTTTACATTTACTTATTTTTTATCTTGCACACACACATACATATATATAATTTGTAACAAAATAAGAAGAAAACTTTAAAGTTAATTAGTTTTAAAATTTATTTAAAAAAGAATTTAAAAGTAAAATCCTGCAGGGGTGTTTGTGCTCCGGGGAAACCCTGGAATTCCGGGGATTTTGAACTTCGATCCCCGGAAATTCCGGGGATCGTCGTTCAAAAGGAAGTAGGAATAATAATGAATTCTTTATTTTGATCTGGGTAATTTTTTTGCTTTGAAAGCAGAAAACGCAAGGTCAGTGTGTGTGGTGAAAACTTTTCCTTTCTTTCTCCAAACGCAGTGACAATGCGTGAAAGGGGGGAAAAACTTCTTTTTTGTTCTTTATTGCGAGTTATGACTCATTCCCCCGGTTCTCGGACATTCTCTTCTGGATTCTTTTCGACAAGTAGGCGCGGCAGAAAAAAAAGGGAGAGACTTCATTCGACCAGATGTGCGATCACGTGACTCTGGGTTCAAAGGTCTTATCTCTCCTGGCGTGGCACCAATAAGTAGAGAAGGGGGATTTTTCACCGTATTAGCTATTTGTCATTGATCGCTTCTCAACTTTTTTTCCTCCGCTGTGTAAAATTTTCGTTTTATTTATTGATGAACGTGTAAATTTTTCGTTTCGTTTATTGAAATATTTTTTTTATTTATGTACGCAAGAGAATTTCACTATGAAATTTCTCGATATAAATAGTGGTATTATACAATTAGAAGAAGGTGTCCGGAATGCATTAGGTGGAATTGGATTGAACGGAGAGATGGTAATGGGGGATACCATCGGCACATGGTGCAAGAAAAATAAATGTTGCTGGACAAGCATATTGTGTTTTTTGTAACTCACTGCTGAAGTGTGGTGGGGAAGGATTCAAGGCTTTCACGAATCATTCTAAAACTGTGACACACATAAAATATTCAAAGTGCATTAGACATTCAATGACTTTAAGTAATTATGCTAATTCAAAAAATACTGATGACTTACTGGAGACTGATGCTCGGCCATTGGATATAGTGACAAGAAAAGCACGCCAAGAGGTATTAATAACTTTGTTTATCGCCGAGAATTCTCTTTCTTTCAGTGAAGCTCCCAATTTAATTGAACTCTGCAAACAGTTGAGCCGCGATCAGACGGCACTAAACTTGTTGGAAATGTCCAGGACTACTGCATGTTATAAGATGAAATATGGGCTCGCAAAAACTATTAAGGAAAATATCATTAAAACTTTAAAGGAGACTCCATTTTCTCTAAATTTGGATGAAAGTACTAGCAATGCTCAAGAAAGTATACTGGCAATATTGGTGCAGTTTTATGACAACAATCAAAATGAAGTTGTAGTTCATCATTTTGCATCTCTAAAGATGGAATCTTGCAATTCAGAAGCTTTCTTAAGCAGTTGTTAAA